CTCCTCCTCCTCCTCCTCCTCCTCCTCCTCCTCCGCCCAACTGACTACCTACCACACCACCCCAACCCAACCCGAAGACCCGAATTTCGGGTTGGGGGGGTACGGGTTCCGTTTGTGTTATTTCAGAATGTTCCCGAGCTCCACTGGGAATGGAGGGCAACTTGGGGTGTTCGGGTTGGGTTGGGGTGGTTTGGCGGGTGGTGGCTAACTGTTCCCCAAACGTTGTCCCTGATCTACGGAGACCGGCCTCCAGCGACATGGGCCTTGCTTGGAGGCGACTGGGGGGTGAAATCTGAGCTGGTTGGGGCCGTGGTCAATCGGCCAGGAGAAGGGATAAGGCCAAATCCGCCCAAAATCGGTCCCCGGACCCCTCCTAAGGCCCATCTGCCCATCTGCTGCACTTTTTTCGAGGTAGGAAAAGGTGTGGCATAAAGGGGTGTGGTGCCGATCGTGGAAATGGATATGCCTTCTGCCTTCTGCGATAGATAACACCGCCAGATTCAGCATCGGCACCACACCCCTTGATGCCGCACACCTTGTCCTACCTCCAGATGTTTCTGAAGGGGCCATGGGACACACAAAGAAATAGACACAGATACCAATAGTCCCCACATGTTCTCATATTTTCTGGGTTTGTGTCTTCCCCCCCACTTCCCATATTTTCCATGTTTTCCTGGGAGTCGACGATTAATTGTGCCTGTGTGTCTTTTCCCCCTCCTGACAAGGGCCCGAAGACTGCCTCTGGAGGCCGGAGGAGGCAGGCGAGTTCCTGGAGCCAAGAGCCTCGACCCTGCCCCCCCCTCCTGCTGCCCGACGCTGCGCCATCGTCTCGGCCTCCGGGGGGCCTGCCTCGAGCCCCCAGAGGCCGTCGGCAAAGGAAGGCCCAGTGGGAGCACATGTGCCCCCCAGGAGGCAGCCGTGAACTCCTGGGGCCCACGGGCCAAGGCAGCAGTCTGCCAGGGGGTCTGGGGGAGAGGGGGGCCAGGAGGAGGGGGAGGAGGGGAGGAGGAGGAGGAGGGGAGGGAGGAGGAGGAGGAGGAGGAGGAGGAGGAGGAGGAGGAGGAGGGGAGGAGTAGGAGGGAGGAGAGGGAGGGAGGAGGCGGGGGCGCCCCATCCCCTCGTCCCTCCGACCTCGTCCGTCGTCCGTCGGTCGTCGTCGTCGTCGTCGTCGTCCCCGTCGTCGTCGTCGTCGTCGTCGTCGTCGTCGTCGTCGTCGTCGTCGTCGTCGTCGTCGTCGTCGTCGTCGTCGTCGTCGTCGTCGTCGTCGTCGTCATCGTCGCCGTCCGCCGTCGTCATCGTCGTCGCCGTCGACGGCACCAGGCGCAAAGTCCTCACAACCGCCCGCTATCTGGGCAGACGGCAGTCTGGGGCCGACGGGGTCCGGCGCGCGCGCGCCCCGAATGGCGGGCGCACGCATAGTCGGCCGCGGCTTCGGGGGCTAGGCGCCCGCGCGGAGAACGTGGCAAAGCTCCCATCCTCCCT